ATACACCAGACCCCTCTGCCTCGAAGACTCATTCATTCTTCCCTCGGCGTCTTTCATTCGTTTATTAATTCTCACAATGAACACAAGTTTCTATTGGGGTTACGGCGCGATATACTACTTGCTGGTCGAACTAGAGAACTAGAGGGTATTAATTTTAGTATTGGTTTCCCTCTGCAGCTGGAAGACAGATTTGACGATGGCGATATCGATGAAAATTATGAGGATGGATTATCCTCGTAATATGTACGAACGATTTGAAGCTTTCTCTGGCCAGGGAAAATATATTCTAGATCCGGGGACCGTACTCTGGTGATGAACGCGAAAACGGTGGTATCGATTCCGAGGATGATGGGTTCGTGGATTTTCTGTCTTGAAGAAGGATGGAAGCAAAAATGCTTCCCATGCTAGGGAGTTTCAAAAAGCGATGTATCTTATAATTTACATGTATTGGTCTGAAATATGCCAATAATCTCATGTTCACCGCTTACTCTTTAGGCTAAACCTCGTTGATAATGGACCAAAATAATCCTGAAATGTAACCATCGAATCCGATTCCGCATGTATGAGAATGTGAGTAAAATTTTCTTTGTTTAAGCATGCCACGTTCACGTCGAAAGAACCAATCTCATTCATTCCCTGACTTGCACTGGCCGATGTATATTACTGACCTAGAGCTAATCCTCTTTTTGAATGCACTGTGGAGGTTCATCTCATTTTAGAATGTGTTGGCATATGTACAGTTCCACGAGAAACGATTTGTAACATCAATCCGTGGAAAGGCCTGCACCCTTCCTGAGCACGTTGGCAACATTAGCAGCCACCTTTGCGTTATCCACAGGAGCAATTGGAGTGAGCGCATGTTCTCTTCCGCGAACCTAAATAAAATGTATAACCGGCGTTTAACTAGAAAATTCCAGCCTCACCATTACAAAGCGGGGTCTCAGAAAGCATTCAACACTTTCCAAAGGATTCCCAGCGAAAGCGGCGATGTCGGCAGACATTCCAGGAAAAAGTTTTCCTGTGACGGAAGCTAAACCGCATACCTCGCTAGCCTTGTCCGTCGCAGATGCGATGATTTCACGTAGAGTGAAGCCAGCCTCGACGAGTACGGAAAGCCCATCAGCATATCTCTCGAATGGGCAGGCGACTAAATTTGATGGTTAATGTGAGTGTACACGTTTCACGATCCGAAAGAGGGAACACTTTACTCACCGATCCCATCATCGGTTCCAACAACCATTCGAACGCCATGTTCCCGCAAGCTCGTGAGGTTTTTCAAAACCTGTTCCCGGGTATCCCAAGGACAGAAATAATCCTTCTCCATGCAGGCGGTATTCATTGTCGGACATACAGCGACATTTTGTGCGACAAGCTTCTTAGCAATCTCTTCATCGAATTTTGTTCCGCCCTCTACGCAGAATATTTTTAAGGAGCGACGACGGCAAATATCAATGTCAAACCATTACCTACGCTCCATGAGCAGTGTTCAATACAGTCAAATCCTGCATCAATAGCCCGTTCAATCCCTTCTACGCCTGTAGCATGGGTCGTGACAGGAATTCCATGGGCATGCGCTACCTCCGCAATGACGCGAAGCTCTTCGATGGAGTAACGCGCTCTTTCGGGGGAGCTACCGGGTGTAAGGAATCCTCCTGAAATATTATGTTAAAACCCGGTCAGAGCAATTTTTAGATTGAAATACGCGGGTAGGGGAAACACGATTTGAATCGAGTCGCCCGATCCGACCAACTACAAAACGCCCTTCCTTCCGAAGAAAAATAAGTTTCAGATACGGGAGACTCACCCGTAGTCATGACCTTGATCACGTCGACTCCCTGAAACCCGGTAAATAAATGACACCCGTGAAAACATAATTTACCAAAGACGCTTACCTCCTCTACTCTTTTCTGAGCTTCTGATTTACAGCCATCAATGCCAGAAGCTATACCGCCCCAGGAGCAGGCATGCCCATTAGGAACAGTAATAGGTGCATTAGCCGAGAGAATCCTAGTAAGACTGTCAGTCGAAAACATTGAAGAAAAAGGAACTCAGGTATAATTAGCAACATGTACATACCGAGGTCCTCGAACTAAACCCGCACTAACGCGCTCTCTTAATTCAGTGGCGAGAGTACGAATGCAGCCCAAGTCCCTCACGGTGGTCACACCGGCATCCAGAACTCGTAAGCAGTTTTCCTCCATCCTGGAGAGCAATTCTGCATCTGTGTGTGGCGCAGTTGCTGTCGTTTGGAACGAAGACGGGTCCATGAAGAGATGTACATGGCAATCAAACAGACCTGGCATTAAAGTCACGTCTCCAAGGTCCAGAACCTTTGCATTTTCTGGCAAGGTAGGTTTGATTTTGTTCCAGGGTCCCGACGAAATCACAATTTCGTCTTCCACAACGACTGCACCATCTTGAATGAGGTCGGAGGAGCTGGACATAAGAAGACGATGAGCGTGAAGACAGGTGAGCATGATGTTGATAAGTGAAGAGTTGCGCTTTTTTCCTTGGAGATAGGGAGTCTAGTTGTATGTTTTCGAAGGAGGTATTTTCGGTATTTATAATTATAATGGTTTTGTGAAAATGTTCGCGAGGTGAACACTGAAGAGATCTTGAGTACCTTTGTCTGCTGAGAGGGTTGTATCTTTAAAAAGGAGGCATTTGCGGTATTCAAGATGAATGGTTGAAAAAACGATAACGTTGAACTTTTACTCAACGTACGTGGACTGCAGGTGCATGCAGAAACGCAATTGAAATTACCGTCGCGACATGATTGTCGGGTATGAGGGTATGTTCTCCGACACTCCGCTTGGGGTATATTCTAGAAACCAACTGGAAATTGGAGTTATTTAACAATGTACATAGTTAGTAACGACTATGAGGCTACTCAGGGTAGCAGCTGCAGGACGGACCAAAACTAACTATGATTCAGATCAGATAACAAAACCAGCCACCGCTGCAGCGGAGTTCTGAAGTTTTATGACACGCGCAATTGTCGGAGGGCGTTTAACTTTGAGGGGGGTGAGGGGAAGATTTAGTTTAGAGGAGCAGTCTTGTCTTTAAACTTTAACCTTTGAAGCTCCGCTTTCTGAGATTGTGCTGTCGAGAGTTTCTGAATGCGGTCACCGTAACAGACCCTACCAGGCTTTTGCCGGCTTTTTACATTACACGCGGGAAGCGACGGGCATTCTAGTTCCATTGTGTATCAGGTATTAGCAGGTACATATGGTTGGTTGCTCAATTGTCGATAGACACATATTGACCAGCACGGTCTCATATGACACGTCCTGTGTGACGGGCTCATTGTAAGATCCAACTCTGGATGAGTGTTTCCATACTTGCATGGAGCCCATTGATCCAGTGAACATACATTCCGAGTATGAAAGCGACCCTTGGACTCTGGACTAAGCGCACCCACTCTAGGTTGGACCACCTATAGCTTGTATTAATGTAGAGCTCTAGTTCGAGGCCTGGTTTGGTTCTATGGTCGTAATCAAGCTTTAGGAATACTTGATAGAAAATAAGTACACGAAAATTTTGGCTTAAAGGGATCCGACGGGAACACCCGACAGCTTTGACTTCGTGGGAGTTTGTGGTCGTACCGCCGGCTCTTCTTTTCTCGCACGACTTGCCTTACATGCCTTGAATAAGTGCACCCACCATCATATCTTCCTGCTCAATGTATGAATTTCGAAGAGAAGGAGAAATGACCGCTTATCGATGGTATCCCGGCGCAAAAACATTGACAAAAGCTCAAGTCCCAGTTCCTAAACCTGCAGGAGATGAAGGTTGAATGTGAAGCTTCTTCGTGGCTTACAGCAGCGGAACTGACCACGGTGGTAGTTTTGGTGAAAATCCTTGCTGCGGGAATGTGTCATTCTGATTTGCTATATTACGACGATGCATTCAAACACAACAGGACCAATCCGTATGTCCTTGCTACTCGAGAAAGTAGTATATTTACTGACCAGATCGTCCGCCTAGATTTACGATGGGCCATGAAGGTATGCAGCGCCTAACCATCTTACAAAGTTTTACATTGGACACTCATATCGATATCGGCGCTCAGGCGCGGGTGAATTGATTGCCCTCGGCGAATCCGTACCGTCAACGTTTCCTGGTCTTCATATGAACCAGTACATCGTCATCCATGCTCGGAATCCGTGCCTTTCTTCCAGCTGTTCAGTATGTTCCATCGGAGCGGACAACATCTGTGACAGATACTTTCCTTGTGGTCTTGGTATCGACGGTTCTTATGCTCCATATATGGTTGCACCTGCTAGAGACATCGTTCCAGTCAACGCTTCGAAGGATGAAATTCCCCCGCCGTTGGCGGCAGTTTCTACTGATGCAGTGTTGACGAGCTACCACGCGCTGATGGACTTGAAAGCAGGAGAGACGATTTTACTAATTGGAATTGGGGGATTGGGCATCAATGCGATTCAGATCGCCAAAGTTCGTGCTCCTAATTCCCCAAATTAGGTGATGCTTCTAATGACCTTCCATTGTTGTAGAATGTCAAAGGAGCGAAAACTGTTATCGCGGTGGATACACGCGACGTGATGCTTCAGGCAGCACTTGAAGTTGGTGCAGACTACGCTGTGAATCCCGAGGAATTAGGTTCCTTGTTATCAAGCAATAACCTCACTATTGATACTGCATGCGACTTTGTTGGCATAGATCATACGTTCATATCAGTACTTCAGCACATTCGCCCTCAAGGAACTATTATCATTGTTGGCCTTGGTGCAATATCTGTCGAGCTGCCGTTGATCCCTGCAGCTCGCAAAGAGGTGACGATCAAGACAACCATGTGGGGAACCAAAAAAGAACTGGCTGAGGTTCTGACTGCTGTGAAGGAGAGGAAGATCCTGCCTATCATTGAAAGAAGACCTTTGGTACAGGCTGTGGAAACGCTGGAAGACATGCGAAACGGGAGGCTTAAAGGTCGGGTAGTGTTTGTCCTGGAGTGATAATTAATCAATGAAAAAAGAAGTTTCCTTCTAGCCGACTTGAACGACTGACCTCGTCATTGAATTACAGAAATACTAGTGACGCGCTCTACCAACTGAGCTAAGAAGGACACACTGATGTTCCGACTCCATTGCTATAACTCGTTAATTTGCACCGTTGGGCTCAGCATCGTCTTCAATTTTTTGAGCCAAATTGGAACGGTGAAGTGTACTGCGGCGTTGAGGTAATATGGCTATTCGATCTGGAACTTTCAGGTCCTAAAAATACCTTGCCTTCTCTATCTCGAACTTCGATGTGGAGCCGACCTCAGAATGTTATTCAATATCGATATCTAAAGTGCTCCAGTCAGATTAGACGTAGCGAAATTCGCTCAGCATATCATGTTCTCGACCATATCGTCTTGTACAGGAGTTAGACAGGCTTATAGCGGATATTCAAGATAGGATAGCGTGGAAGAGCCTTGCACATCGGAGTTGGTGAGCCCGGTAGCAGTCAGGACAGACGTTGCGCCACCTCTCTTTGAATGTCGATTTTTGAACATGCTTCTCCTTTCAAGCGCGAGTTACTAATGTGAAAAATCACTATCACGAAGCTGTGGACCTCTTTATAAGGCCGCTACAACTCCGTAGTGACTGCTATAAAAAAGGTCTTTCGTGAATCTTGCATACTCTTCACCCTTCACCTTCACTCACTCCGATTTCAGGATGTCACGTAGCTCCTCTCAACATGCGACTCTACCTGTTCAACAGAATCTAACTGAAGTGCACAGCGAGACACTCAATGCTGAAGCCTCAGTACTTCTACCTCCTATTCCTTCTGTGCTGCCTCCGTTGGTCCAAAATTCGACTACACCTTTACCACTTTTGCCAATGTCGGTCCTTTCGATTGTATGAGTTGATTGACAGAATTTGTGCATCACGTCACTGATTTACCCTCTGCACTAGACGATGCTCGGAGAGTTCCTCTCTTCCAACGTATCAGTACCGTTCTTGCTCTTCATGGTGAAAGGTACACTTTTTCCATTGTGATCTGAGAGAATTTTATTCACTTCCTCGTGCAGAATTTGGGTTTCCAGATGAGGCAGACGCAGCGTTCTGGACTGGAATTTTGGGTACATCATTACTGCGTGATACTTCTTATCTCTTCTGAAGTCAGTGCGAACAGTGGCAACATTCTTTCTCGGTCAGTTTCTGACCTCCTTACTTTGGGTATGTACGGTTTTCAAGTTCTATTGTCTCACTTCCGTCTTTCTTAAATGTACCTTTTTCGACGGTCTAGGCAGCGGTTGCTGAGATATACGGTCGTCGATTTGTACTCATCGTTACCCTGTTCGGAAGTGCGGCGTCCGTCACTTCTTTTGGGTTGTCTAAAAGTATCGGGCAAGCGATATGCATTCGTTTTGTGCAAGGAATTTTTGCAGGCGCAGTTGGTGTGGCAAGAGGTTCTGTGGTTTTCATTACCGATAGTTCGAATGAAGGTAGAGCATATGCTATTCTTGGGTATAGTCTCTAAGCTATGCTTCTCTGGGGCCTGATTGCTTATCTGATGGTTATAGGTTTTGCTGGGGGTTCGGCGGTCTTCTGGGTCCAATCATCGGAGGTTCTTGTGAGTTGTGGCCAGTGTACTGCTAATCTTGTACCGTAATGTTTTTGAATTGCTTGACAGTCGAGCGTCCCGCTGAGAAGTGGCCAGTATTCCACCAGTGGAAATTCCTGGACCAATTCCCATATATTCTTCCTACGACACTTGCAGGGCTGATACTTTTTGCGGGTAAGTTTACTCGCTATAACGCCCTTGTGGATCGCTCATTCTCGGGTGCCTAGGTTCATTTTTAGCATGCTTCCTCAGCCACGATGGCGAGACAGCAAAAGCTACAGTCCAGATTCGTCCCGAAAAATTAGAGATCCATGGCCCAAGCTTCGACGTTGAGGAACAAATCACACCGCTAACACCTCAAAGCCCGAGTGGAACACTTCGACGGAATAGGTCTCCAGGATATTCCTCGACAGCGAGCAGGATGGAATCTTCTATTCCAGATCATCTCGGCTCAATTTCCTCCGGAATCCCAATAGGCCCCCGAACATTCACGGTGTCGAGTTCGAGGTCCCACGTCAGGAATCGACTTTCCATTGTTGGTAGAACCTCCAGCTCCCTCTATCGCCAGTCAGTGGTCAACCCGCCGCTTCTCCACTCAGGGAGTTTTCCCGTTTCTACATTCTATAATCCTTATCACGATGCCAATGATACATCGGAGACTCTCAGTGTTGCGGAACGGGTGGTGCTGGCGAATGCGGCTGCTGTTAACAGCATAGCAGACCTCTGGGTGGCTGCTGCGCTGAACGTTGAAGAAAACGATGACAATAGTACTCGAAGAGAAACGAACCAAGATATATTTGAATTCGAAGCTCACGACTTCGAAGAGGGCCCCGCAAGTGATGATGTTAAACTCAGAGGACGCAGTGACTCAAGATGGTGTGATTACCCTTCTGCTCTCCCTTCGGCACCTTATACAAGGTCGAATCACTCCTTGGATGCCTCCCAGCGTCGATCATCTCGTCGTACGTCAGTTACCAGGCCTATAGATGCACTATTCGATGCACCCCTCAGTGCTCGTCAGTCAGTCGGTGATATGACTTTCACTCCCCGACAACTCCCCTCTATTTTCATGAACTCTGGGGTCAGCACACCTCAAATTGTACTTGAAAATTCCACTTTCTACTCCGAAGTTGATCTGTCAACTCATCTTGAACGAGAGTTACCTCCCATTTTGGAATCAAGGCGACCTTCCGCTATGCATATCAACGATATGGAGACTACACCGCTTTTGAACCTGGAAGCATCTGCTTCATCTCCATCGCTCCCACTAGTTATAATCATCCAATTCGGACTGCTGGCTCTGCACACTACAACACACGATCAAGTGTTTATGTCTTATTTAGTCAGGTCAGTGTACCATTGTTTTTCGACGGCTTCAGACTTGTGTTGAAGATATAGAGCAGTGCTTATGATGCAGGCGGGCTCAGTCTCACAGCGAGTGATTTTGCGCAATTGAGTTGGTTTCATCTACATCCACATTTTTCACTTTCAAACAGATATCCTGATAGTTGCGCTGATGGGGCTTGCCCAAATCGTCTTTCAGTTCTACCTCTACCCGTAAGTTTTCTATAATGCTTAACTGACAAATTATTCAGAAGGTGACTTATCTCTTTAGGAATGTTGGGTGAATAACACCTTCAACTTTCTTCGCTCAGATACTTATATTTCTTCTCAATGGCAGCCCCCCGAGAGGTCGACTTTCTCATTTGACCATGTATCGAATAGGCACATGCCTTTTTATACCAGCATATTTGACCGTTATTTTGTACCGGACACCTTTTGCACACCCGGAGAGTTTCAAGAAATTGGCCCTCATGACTGGTGAGATCTAATACTAACTGCATATAAACCCCGCTGACAATTTTGCGAGCTCAGCTCTCGCTATTAGCACGTATGCACTATCTGATACCCTGTTTGAATTCACATTTTTACATTGACCGCTAGAGCTGTCCGTTATTGCGGATTGACCTTTGCGTTTACTTCAATATCCGTGCTTCTAAACTATAGTGCGCAAACCTTAATCATGTTTGCAACTCATTATCGTGATACTCCTCTTCTTGACAGTGACCCCACCAGAAGCCATTGGGTATGCTAATGGTCTGGCACAAACAATTGTGAGCTTGGCTCGCTGTTTGGGACCTGTCTTTGGTGGTTGGGTATGCCTTCTCTCGCAAGACATTGCTGCAGCAGACTAATGCATTCTAGATGTGGTCTGTAAGCATAGGAGGACATCCTTCGGGGTACCCTTGCGGTTTTGTTGTGTGTGCTGTTGTGTGTGCAATTGCTGCAGTTGCGACTCTGCTCATTGATTGAATTTGGTACCATCCATCAAGATATGAGTTAGCCTTGACGATGAAAATACCCTATGTAGATACATGGCTGTAAACACATTGATTCCATTTCGAGCTTGATATTAACAGCTTTGACACTTACGCCATTCACGCGGCTTCCACGTGCTTGCTGCCTTAACCCTTTGCTGCGGAAAACCAAAAATCCGAAGGTTCCGAAGGCAAGAAAGCTTTAAGTAGCTGCAATGACGTTTTCTTTTTCCCATCCTTCCCGACTTGATGCTGTTGACTACAATCGTTCAAATTATTGTCCTCGCTGTCTGGGTCACAGGTAGGTTTACTTACCATTGCAAAAGCATTCCAAGGTTGTTGAAGCTCTAATAGGTCATCCTGATCATGAAAAAATCCCGGCTAGGGAGCTCGTTGCCCGTAAAGTACGTGCTGCGCAGGAGAACCGTTATCTAAGAAATTTACTTGCGTTCAACATCTAGGAAGCTGCCACTAAACGTCGCCTTGTAGCTCGCAATTGTGTAGACAGTATTGCATCTCACAATCTCAGGCGCAAGGCCAAGCGAAATCTTGCGAGCTACGACTTGCAGACGATTCTCGAACCATTGAGCTTTGACAAGTAAGTATCGGTCTTGATCTATTTACTCAGACGTTTTTGACTTCCTCTAGTTCAACCTGTGTTCTCGCTCCTGAAGTAATGGAAGGTCCCTATTACATCAACAATGAGATGATCAGAAATAATCTGATTGAAGACCAACGGTGCGTCTGGAAACATCGTTCGACTTCATTTTCTTGATCTTTTATTTCTTTTCCAGTGGTATCCCTTTAACCCTTGATATAGCTGTCATGGATGTCACGACATGCGAACCAATGGAGGACGTTCTCGTTGAGATTTGGGCAGGTATGATTCTCGTCGTTCATCGAGGTTCTGGACTTGATATAATTTCGCTGCCAGCAAATGCTACCGGCGTTTATAGTGGTTACAGCGCCATGATCGGTGGAAAGCCACCTGGAAGAGGAGACGGAGACGGAGATCAAGGCCCACCCCACAGAGGCGGCCATCATCTCGAAGACGGTGATGATTCTGGCAGGGAACACAAACCTGGAGATGGGCGCAAGCCGGGACATGGTGGGCCAGGAGGTCCAGGAGGTCCACCCGCTCAGCCATTATCCCGGAACGAGACCTTTCTTCGTGGAGGGGCACCCTCTTCATCAG